AGGGCAGCCATGAACTCAGCTACAACTTTGGGAAAATATTACTAAAAGGAAGTAGGGGAGGAATTATAGTGGGGCAATTAGTAGCCTGCCAAAAGTTTTGATATTTTAAGCTGCAAGTAGCAGATTTGTCAACTAAATGGCTTATTTAGGATAAACAATAAGTTCATTTATTATCCAACAGAACAAAATTTTAAGAAGTAAGGGGTCCCAGGTGTCCTTCAGTCACTTTATGATTTTAAGGACCCAGGATCTTTCCATCTTTCTACCTTCATGTTTGTATTCATGCCCGTCACCAGCCTCAGCTTTGTTCCCTATACTTGTCATCTTATGGTCACAAGACGGCCACCAAAGTTCCACACATGATATGAGGACACAAAAACATCTGGCCAAAGAAGAGAGGGGCTACATCCTATACACTTCTCTTTATTTGGGGAAAAAACCCTTGCTGGACATCCCTCCTCTCCCACCAGGCTTCCTCCTGGCCCACGCATCTTTGCTCTAGCTGCCGAGGAAGCTGGAAAAGTGAGGATCTGGCATTTTTGACCTGTACGGGCAGAGACCTGCTCTAGAAGCAAGGAGGAAGGGAGCTAGGCATAGCCACTGGGGAGGCATCCACAAGTACCTGATGCACTGTGTGATGCAGCAACAAGCATCATTTCTTTAAGGTTCAGATTCATCATCCTCAAAATGAGGATGATCAGTTTTACTGTGATAATTGCTTATTAAGACTCAATATTAAGATGTTACTCATGAGGGTGCCTGGGGGATGGCAGACACTCTTCGTATGCTCGTTTTCCTTCCCTCATCAGGGACCCTGTTTGAAACGCTGAAGAAAGGCCCTTTCGTCCAAGGGTTGCTATGACACCAACCCTCAGCTCTGCAGCCCCTGCATTCCATTCATACACAGGGCAAGCCACCTTTTCAGGCATCAGACCCTTTGTGTGGACACAATGTGGTTTCCAGCACCTTTCATCAGCCCAGACTACTCAGAGCTCACCCAGAACCAATTCTATTTACAATGCCCAGCTTCCCAAGTTTGTGGCTTCATTATCATAATTGTTAGTGGCCACATAGCCATCTCCATGGTTACCAAATCTGTCTGAACCCCTCCTTTGGAAAATCCACTGTGCAAACATATTTACAAGTCCCAGGCTCTCTGTGGTCAGATTGGTTCTGGCTTCTACTGTAGAAAAACCTAGTTTAAAACTTTTCAGTGGCTCCCCATTGTGCTTAGGATTAAAGACCCACGAGGTCCTGCATGGGATCCTTCTGTCCTTCTTCTAGGCTCATCTCCTGTCAAGCTCCCATTTGCTCTGTGATCTTCAAACACATTTGCCTTCTCACAGTCTCTCATTCTTACCAGGCTCCCTCTTGTGATAGGGCCTTTGCACCTGCTGTTTGCCATAACAGAAGTGCTTTTCCCTCCCTTTGTTGCCTAAATCCATCCAGGCTTCTCTGTGTGCTCAGCTCAAATGTCACTTCCTCAGGGAGGCCCTCCCTGACTTCTCAGAGGAGAGAAAACCCAACTTTGATGAGTTCTGATGTCCCTTTTTGGCATTGTCACAGACTTCCCTTTTTTGTTGGTTTGTATGACCATTTAAGTATTGGCAGGATTTAGTTCCTCACTGGCTGTTCCCGGAGGCCACCCTCAGTTCTTGCCATTTGGGCCTCTCCATTGGGCAGCTCACAACGTGGCAGGTGGCTTCATCAGAGAGGGTGAGTGACCGATCAGAAGAGGGTGAGCAAGATTGAAATCACCATCTTCTACAACCTAATCTCTGAGATGACATTCATCACTTTTGCTGCATTGGAAATGGAGCTAGTTGGTCCTGCCCACCTTCACGGGAAGCCATTTTTGAAGATGCTTACTGAAAGGACCCATTAGATCATTTCCTTTCTCACTTGGGCCAACAAATGAAGAGGGATTCTCTATTCTCTGGGAGAGACAGAACCCGGCAGCAAGCCTACACACATCCTCATGACTTTAATGTGAGCCACAGAGATCAAAGAACATCTAGGGACTTCATGCCCTTTCTATCATATAAATTCTATAGGTTATCTCATTGGAATGGAACAGTCCAGGCCTTGCTGTACTAGGCCCCTATGTCACCAATCTATCATAGCCACTAACTCAGGAGACCAAGCGGTGAGCATTGCCCTGGTCCACTGTTCCAACCCAAGGATCCTGTAAGGGCTGGACAGATCGGAAGCATAGCTTCTGGCTGCGTCTGCCAACGCTTCTGTCAAACAAACGCAGATTAACTCATTGCAAGAGAAGCCAATAACTCAAGAGGTGAGGGTTTGGAAAAGAGAAAGGGAGAAATTTATCTGCGGTGCGGGCAGCCGGGGGAGGTGGTAGGCTCAAACCTTAACAACTGACCCTTCCTCCCACAAGATAGACACCTAGGGTTTTATAAGGAGAGGTTCAGGGGACTACTGCAAGACACCTGGCAGGGGGCATGTGATCCTGAGTGGGGATCGGTATGTATTCAGCACATGGTCACAGGCAGAGAAGGGGATGTGGTCTTCTGGGCATTCCTTGGCTATCAGGGCTTTTCTGACCTGGCGATTGGAATGTTCCGGTCATTGCAAAACATCTTCATCAACGCAAGAAAGTGCAATAAGAAATAAGAACAATGGGTTTCAGTTAGAGCATGAGTGAAGGGGTCTTGTCTATTTCTGGCTTTAACTGTTGGGGTCTATAGTTGAGCAAGAGGGCTTACTGACACCCAGGTGACAATTCTAGGTACTCACAGATGAAGGAGGAATTGTCATGTGACAATGGCCACGAGGCCTCCTTGGGCTCTTCTCCATCCCAGAAAGGCAATGGAGTGTGATGGAGAAGAGCCTGATTTCCTCATAAGTGGGCTTGACTGCCAGCTACGTACCGGTGTGTGCCTTTGAGCACTACAGATCTTAATTATGCAAGCAACTTACTTTACCTCCCTTTGTCTCAGTTTCCTCATTCATAAAATGGGAGCAAATGGCAACAGTTACTATTTCATTAAGCAGTTGTGAGGGTTAACAGTGAGATAATACATGCAGAGTACTTAAAGTGTATAATTATCACTTAATCGTTTAATCTATCGTTCCTATCATTATTGGTGCATAACAATTCACTCCAGAACTTTGCACCTGAAAAGCATCTGTTTACTATACTCCTGGAATTTGTGGGTCAGGAATCCAGACTGGAAACGGAAGGGATGGCTCGTCTCTGCTCCCCAGTGTCCGGAGCCTCAGCTGGAACGATTTGACGGCTAGGAGCTGCAATCGTCTGAAGGCGTGTTCTGGAAACAGTGCTGGACAACTTCAAGGTGAGGGCCACCCGCTGGCGTGTCCACCCGTGGCCTCTCTGTACCTTGGGCGTCTTCACAGCATGGCAGCATCCGGGTAGTTGGACTTCTTAGAGGCTCAGTGCTCCCAGTGCCAGTGTCCCAGTGCCCCAGTTTCCAAAGTCACGCAGTGCCAACTCTGTGCCCCCAGTGGGTCGAAGCCGTCACAAGCCCACTTAGATTTCAAAGGAGGGAACACAATTTTGGAGTCCCGTTTTCAAACTGCCCAACTGGGCATCTGGGTGTGTTATCAGAACTGTACAAGGGTCGCCTGGCTCAGAAGGTCTTGTCGGTGCTTCTTCTTTGCCGAGGGGCTGTGTGTGTCTGTGGCACACGATCCCCGCTGGGTGAGAGTACGGCTGACGATGCCCATGAACCAGCGCGTCCGTGTGAACACGCCGTGAGAGGCTGGACAAGCCTGTGGCCATGTGAGTGCTGAGCTTATAAGGGCATTTTTGCCCGAGGAGAATTAGTGGGGTGTCGCCAGCCTGGTTCCTTTCTAGAGCTCATATATGGAATTGCCCACCTATGTCCACACGGATGCCTAATGAGAACTTAACTGTCACACAGCCAGAACGGAGCTCTGCCCCAAGCCGCTCCTCACCTAGTGGGTAAGTCCTTCTTGAGTCTATCTGCCATCCGACCTACTTTCCTCCACCCCCACTGCTATCCTCTTCGTCCAGATTAACCTCTCTCTCACCTCCACACAGCCTCCTCCCCTTGGGTCCCCCTATTTCTGCCCTTGCTCCCTATAACCTACCAGAACTCTCCAATTATTTCTTGTGTCCGTGGGAGTAAGATCCACATTCCCTACCCTGGCCTCCCAAGGTCTTAAATGATCTGGCCTTGCCAACCCCTCCCTCCATTCTCCCCGCCAAACCCTGTGCTCCAGACACCGTGGCTTCACTTCCATTGTTCCCTACACTCCATAAGCTCCTTCCACCACCATGCCACATGGCCTTTGCCTTTGCTCTTCCCTTTGCCTGGAACCTCAGGTCTGAGCTCAGTTACCCCTCCAGAGAGCAGGCAGCCTTCCCAGACCCACAGCTGCAGCAGCGACCTGTGCCCGCACACCCCAGCACCCTGGTCTTCTTCTCTGCCCAGCCTTTACCCCTGCCGCTGTGTCTCTGGCTCCTTCAGCCGAGTATTTCTCCGCTTCCCCCGGTAGGACACAAACTCCCCAAGAACAACAAAGAATCTGTCTTGTTCTTCCAGCGCATCACCGAAGCCTAGCACAGTGCCTGTGGGTACTTGGCAGGTGTCCCAACCCCGGTGTCCAATGAATGGACAGTAATCCAGGGGCGAGTGTCCGGGTGGCTGAACCGGGTATATGAGTGTCCCGGTGGGTCAGTGTAGACGCATGAGTGTGTGTGTGTGTGTGTGTGTGTGTGTACACACAGGCTGGAGAGGCCAGTCTAGTAGTGTGGACTGCAGTGATTGAGGGTGCTCCTTCCCGTGGGGAGCACAGGAGAGGGCAGCGTGTGGGGGTCCCCCACAACAGGGATGACAGTGGGCGGGGGGCCACGAGGAGGAGAGTGGGTGGGGACCCACATCCAGGCCCCGGGCGGTCCCTGGCGCCCCTCGGTCCCGCCTCCAGGCACAGGGGGGCCAGGGCTGGCCGACGTGGCGGCCGGCGCTGCGGGCAGGCGGGCTGGGAGGAGGGCCGGAGGCGGGAGGCGGGAGGCGGGCCGGAAAGTTTGTCGGGCGGCCGAGGCGGGGACTCCGGCGGGGGATGAGCGGCGGCCCGAGCGCCCCCAGCCCGCAAGGGAGTCGTGCTCGCCATGGGTGAGTGGAGATCTGGCGCTGCCCGCGGGGGAGCCCCTGCGACCCCAGCCGCGCGCGCCCCGCGCCCCCCTACGACCCAGTCGGGTGGGGACAGCAGGCCCTGGCTGGGCGCTGGGAGGGGACGCGAGCGCACTTCCTTCCCTGCTCCCTTCTGCCCAGAAAAAAGTGAGCCGCCAGTGCTCTTTCCCTCTTTCCTCGATCCTGAGCGCGAACTCGGGGCAGGCCCTGTCCTGACCGCTTCAAGCCTTACACCTCCCCGCGCGAGGGAAACTCCTCCTACTCGGCAGATAAAGAAATGGAGGCTCCGAAAGGAGCAACTTGGTGAATCCCTTTGCTGAACACTTCTGTTCAGGAGACCTCAGGAGGCTGCCATGAACAACACAGACAAAACCTTCGCTTCGGAGGTATTCCATGAGAGGAGACCGGAGATTAGAATCCAGAACTGGGAGAGGTGGGGGCGGGAGGAGAATAGGGAATTGCTTTGTTGCTACAGGGAACTGGGATTTCCATTTCTCTCTCTGGATCCAGAGCCTCACTCAGTCATTCAGTCATTCATCCCTCTACTGTGTGGCAGGGGCTGGGGACTCAGCCGTGAGCAAAGCAGACAACAATCCTCTCTTCCATGGAGCTGACATTCCAGTTGAGAAGCTGGAAAAGAGTAAATGAATAAAATAATCTCCAAGGGCGATAAGATGCTATGGAACACAAAAAATGAGGTGGTGTGAAATGCTGAGGGAAGTGGCTTCTTTAGGTAGGAGGCCGTGGAGCGGAGATATTACTCAGAAGGAGTGGGTGTGCTAAGATCTGGAAAAAGAGCTACAAGGGGGGGGTGGGCAGGGATAGCATGTGCAAAGGCCATGAGGCACCAGTGGGTTGGTGTCAGGCCAGTGTGGCTGGAGCACAGTGGGCAAGGGGAAAAGATGGGGAGGGAGGTCAGAGAGTTAGGCAGGGGCTAGACTGTGTAGAACTTTGTAGGCCATGGCGAGGAGTTTAGGTTTTATTCCAAATGACATGAGAAGCTGGAGAAGAGGTTTAAGCTGGGGTGGGACGTGACCTGAATTGTGTTTTAAAACTCCCTCTGGATTATGCTGTGGAGAATCATAATAGCTAACAGTGGCTATAAGGTAGGCAGGCATAGAGGTACATATTACTATTTTACGCATTTGTAGATGGGGAAGCTCAGAGAGGTTAATGAGCTGCCTAAGGTCACACAGCAATGAATTAGAAAAGCTGGGCTAGAACCCCAGCACTCTGGCTCCAGCCTGCATTCCCAACCACTGTACCACTCAGCCTCTCATGCATAGTCATGGCACAACTGGTCACCAACTCCAGGTCTGACTCCGGAGTCCATGCTCTTAACCCTCAAGGCACACTGCCCCGGAGCCTGAGGGAAACACAGGCCCAGAGAGGTCCTCCCAAGGACACTCAGCTTGACCCTGGTCCCTCGCACCTGCCTTTCCGATCCCTTTGCTGCCTCCTAAGTTAATTCAACAGCTCTTGACTGAGCATCTCAGGAGGACAGAGATGGGGCTGGGTGGAAGCGGGGGAGGGAGGGCTCTGTCCTCCCCACCATCCCAGGCTGCTTTCCCAGGCTTGGGCCCTGGGTATAGACCTGGATTCCAGCCCGCATCCTCCCACTTCCGAGTGCATCATCTCGTCTACTTCTCAGACCCTCAGCTTCTTCATCTATGAAATGACCCCCATCAAAGGCACTTATCACAAGGCAGCTATGAGAATGACGTGAGAAAATGAATGAAAAGGGCTCAGCTCACCACCTGCACGTGGTAAAGAGTCCCTTCATGTGAGCTTTTCTTTTTTACCACACCCAGTGTTGGGACTCTGGAGTCAGTCTAGTCTCTGCTCTGTCACTTACAAACTGTCACCTTGGGCAATGTCTTCACCTCTCTGTGCCTCAGTTACTTCATCTGTAAAATGGGAATGACAGCCGTGCCTGGGTCATAGGTTTGCTGTAGGGATTGAGTCAGCTGGTGCAGCTAGGGCTTCCAGAAGAGGAGGTAGGGCTGGCTGTGGTGAGTGCTCCGTATTAGCCGTGTTGGGACGTTTGGAAACCAGCCCTCTGGGTGAGGATAGTTGCATAGTTCAGTGTCACTCAGGCTTCTCCCTGGAACTTGAGGGAGAGCTGTGGCGGATCCCTGGCAGGGGAGGGTCCCAATGCATTGTGACCTCTGGTGGAGATGCTGTTCTTGTGTCACCAACAAGAGGCTCCTTGGGACTTGCAGCTGGTGATACATCCACCTGAAACCTGACTTTTTCCCCCTTCCCCTGCTCCCCAATTCTCTCCCTGGGAAGCTCTGTCCTCCACAGTGAGGGGCTTAGAGGACGAAGGGATTTTCTCCAGTGTGAGACAGCTTCGCATATAACCTATCATTTTGTTTTGTTTTGTTTAGAGAGGGAGGGAGGAAGGGAGAGAGAGAGTGTGTGTGCCTGGTGTGTGGGGAAGGCCGAGGGATGGAGGGAGAGGGACAGAGAGAATCTGAAGCAGGCTCCGCACTCAGCACAGAGCCTGTTGTGGGGCTCAATCTCACAACCCTGAGATCATGACTTGAGCCAAAACCGGGAGTCAGATGTTTAACTGACTGAGCCACCCAGGCGCCCCTAGACAGATACTTAATAGAAAGGGGGAGCAGTTCCCAAACCTAGGCTGGGCCCTACTTTGGGGGCCAGGATTTACTCTACTTCCTGTGGAGTTTGGCCCCTTCCAGGCCCCAGACCTTTCCAAAGAGACCTCTCCCTCAAGAGCCAAGACCCTTCCTGTCTGGATTCCCTAAGCCCCCAGAGTCCCTTCATTCAATCTTCTGTTTATTCAACAAGTATTTACTGAGCGCCAGGAAGTGTCCTTAGCATCAGGGAGACAGCTAAGGACAAACAAACAATTCCTGTCCTTTTGGGGTCAACATTCTGGTTGGAGAGAACAATAAATATGTAAAACATATAGTTCTTTCAGATGGTGAGAAGTACCTTGGAGGAAAATAAGGGCATTAGAAGTGCTGGGTGTGATGGGGGAGGTTGCTCTTTTAAGTAGAGGGCCAGGGAAGGCCTCAGGAGAAGGTGATGTTTGAGCCAAGACCAGAGGGAAAGAGGGAAGGAATGGAGGGGGAGGGCTCTTCTGGCAGAGGTGACAGCTGGTAAAAGGCCTTGAGTTGAGTCACACAGGAATGAGGAGGAACAGCAAGGAAACTGGCATGGCAGAGCCGAGAGAGAGAGAGAGAGAGAGAGAGAACGAACGAATGCAGGCAGATTCTGCAGAACCTTGAAGGCCACTGTAAGGACTTTGGCTCTTTTCAGACTGAAGTGGGAACCCCAAGGGCTCTGAGCAGAATGACTCAGGCTTCCACAGGACCCCTGGGGCTGTCATGTAGCATTCTGCTAGGTTCAAAGGTATCTGATGCGGCCTCTGCAATGCCCCGTGCAGACACCTCCCTAGTCCCCAACGCAATCCTGGGTTCATTCGGCAGAAACCTCACTGAGCCCCGCTGGGGCATCAGGACAGGGCTGGGGCTCAGGAGGCACAGACAGGAAGTCTCTAACGCTGCCCTGCCCCGTTTAATAAGGAAGACACAGCAACAAACTTGAGATGGTGTCAGCAAGTGAAGGGGGAATGCAGAGTTGGCGGGAAGTGAAAAGTATGGCTTGGAAAGTGGAGGAAGATGTACAAGAATTAGCCAGGGCCTCCCATGAATTACCTTAAGCAAAAAAAAGGAGAAGAGAAGAGGAGGCGAGATGAGGGAAGGGGTGGGAAGGGGAGGGGAGGGAAGAGACAAGAGAAAAAGTAGAAAGAAAAGAAAAAAAGACATTCCTTAGTCACTGAGCAGTCCATGGATTCAGGAACTGGGGCTCAGGCAGTGTTGTCAGGGACCCCCCCGCAAGGGGGAAGCTGGCCCCCAGCGGCTCCAGGCAGGTAAACTACCAGCTTAGTGCCTTCAGTGAGCCAACACACCGGCCCAGGGTCAGCCACATGGCTTTCATCGCTGCGCAGGGCCTGGGAACCTGCTGGTTGGTCAGATCTGGGTCATGGACTCGGCCCTGGAGCTAGGCAGTGGGGGTGGAGGTGGCCGCGGTCATTTGTATCCAAACCAGGAGACCCAGAGACAAAGCACGGGGAAGGGCAGCACCCCAAAAGAGGGCGGGGGATGCCAAAGAACAGAGACCTACAACTCAAGGCCCCTCGGGGATGTGCCCGTGAGCTGGGACTGAGGAGGATGAGTGGGCCTGTGGGGACACAGGTGGTGCAGCAGCGGGCAGAGGGGCATGGAAATGGACCGTGTGTGCGGAGAGCAAGTGTTTGTGGGGCTTGGGGAGGCAGGAGGGGAGGTGGGGACAGAGTCAGGGAGGGGAAGTGACTGAGGAGTTGGGCCAGGGCCACTGGCTCAGGTAGGGCCTGGGATGGCAGGCGAAGGGGTTAGGACTTACAGAGCAGAGGCCACGGAAGCCAGGAAAGCTTAAGGAAGGGAATGTGCTTCCCTCATGTTTCTGACTCTGACTCCTTGGCGGCTGCCCTTCATCCTTCCTTGGGGCACTGTTGGTTCACTCTGCTTTGTGACTGGGTTTTCCCGAGAGCTAATGTGTCTGTATCTCCCCTCCACCCGTGGCCCTGCACCTCTGCTCTCTCTCACACCCCACCTATCTTTGATGGTCCTTCTCGCTTGAAGTCCGTTCTGCAAAGCTCCTAAGTATATGGGTTTGGGAGTCAGATGGATCAGTGAGTCCTGATCCGGTTGCTTCCCAGCTGTGAGAACACTCTGAAACTTAATCTCTAAAATGGGGATAACTGCAGCTGTACCACCTAGGGGTTATTATGAAGATGAGTTGAGAGACTAACGTCTTTACGTAGGGGAGCTGCTCCATAAATGACACCTGTTATTATTACTATTTTATTTCACTATTATTTTCGCTCTTCTGCTCTTAACCACCGTGACCCGAATCTGCCCCGATGCACTTTCCAGCGGGACCTGTGGACAGTCAACTTGGCCTCTGAGCCCCTTGGCTGGGTTCCCTTTCAGCTCCAGAGGAACTGAGGAAATGGCAAACAAATTCTGTTTTCACTTGATTGCCTCACATGGCCTGGAGGAAACTTCCTTTCTGGCAGCAAGCTCCAGGAACCGAGGGAGATGGGGCAAAGGGAGGTGAAGACAGGACAGGACCCGGGTACCATCATCTTCCTAGGGTGCTCGTTGATGGTCATGAACAAGAAGCACAGGGCCAGCCAGGGAAACAGAGGAGGTGATTTCCCAGGGGGCAGGGTGGGAGGGATAAGGGTGAACAGAAATGGGCACCGAGCCTTCCACCCATGAAACTCCTCCCCCTGCACAAAAATTGCCTAACAGAGATGGGGAGAGGTAGAGGTAGGAGAGAACAGCGCAAAATCATAATATGCCAAGGTTTGCTAATGGGGTGGTTAAGGGTGTGGATTGTGGCGCCAGACGGCCCGGCTTTGAATCTAGGCTCAGCTACTTACTACTTTTGACCTTAGACAAGTCACTTCACCTCTGATGGTCAGTTTGTTCATTCATAAATAATTCAAAAGCCCACCACATGAAGTTATATTAAGTTAAATGTGTTATTGCACTTAAAGTGCTCAAAGCAGTGCCTGGCTGAGATACACTCAGTGAGTCTGACTGTAGTATTATGAATGTTCTTGTCAGGTCCAGGGTGGGTGTGGGTGAGATAGATACTGCTAGATTAATCTAGATGCTTCTAGAAATATCTAAGTGTAAGCGTGTGAATTAAGAATTAAGAGTAACCTGTAACTGCGTTTTAATTAATTAAAATTAAATACGATTTTAAAATTCAGTTCCTTAATCACATTAGCCCCCTTTTAAGTGCTCAGGAGCCACATGTGCTGGTGACTACTCTCTCTGCCCAGCTCAAGCCTTCCAAGACTTGCCTCCATCCACTGAGAATGAAATTCATTATTCTCTTCATGACCTAACAAGTTCCGCGTGACCTGGCCCCGGCCTACTTCTGCCTCATTATCTCCTCAGGTGGAGGTGGCTCCAGCCATCCTGGCCTCCTTGCTGAAAACGCAATGATTAACAGCCTGAACGCTCTTGCTGCATCAGTCACCCACTTGCTGTGTGACCATGAGAAAGTTTCTTAACTTCTCTGAGCCTTGGAGGATGATGCTAAAAATACTATGTTATAGGGTTGTTGTAAGAATGAAATGAGTAGGGATGCCTGGGTGGCTCAGTCATTAAGCATCTGCCTTCGGCTCAGGTCATGATCCTAGGGTCCTGGGATCGAGCCCCGCATCAGGCTCCCTGCTCAGTGGGGAGCCTTCTTCTCCCTCTGCCTGCCACTCCCCCTACTTGCGTGCGTGCTCTCTCTCTCTCTCTGACAAATAAATAAAATCTTAAAAAAAAAAGAATTAAATGAGTAAGTGTGTGTAAAGTTCTTAAAACCGGGCCTGGCACTTAATAAATGTCATATAAGCACTAGCTATTAATATTAATGGTTGTTGTTCAAACATACCAAAAACTGTCTTGCCTCAGGGCCTCTGTTTTTGCTGTTCCCTCCGTCTAGAATGTTCTTCTCCCAGATTTTACATGGCTTTCACCCTCACTTAATTTAGATCTCTGCTCAAATCTTCCTTCTTTGAGAGGCCTTAACTGACTACCCTATTTAACATAGAACTCCTCCATCATTTTCAATCCACTTTCCTGGCTTTTTTAAATGACATCTTTCACCACCTAAAGTTATATATATATATTTATTTATTGTCTGCCTTTCTCTACTAGAATATCAGGTGCTTGACAACACCACTGTATTGCCAGCCCCAAGAACACTGTTTGGCATGTTGTAGATGCCGAATAAATAAGTTTTTGAATGATTGGAGGGGTGGATGCATGGATGGATGGGTAAGTGTGTGAATGCGTACATAAGGGATGGAATCAAAGATTGGTGGATGAATGGATGTATTTGTGGGTAGATGCATCAATAAACAGATGGATGGTAAATTAAAGAGTATATAATGGACAAATAGATGGATGAATATGTGGTAGATAGAGCAAATGGATGGATGGAGGAGGGGATGATGAAGGGATGGATGGATAGATTGATTAATAAATAGATGGGTGAATAGATGGAGTAAATGGATGGATAGATGGATGACAAATGATGGTTGGATGCATGAATACGTGCATGGGTAGATGGATGGCTGGATAAGCGGATGGAGTGGATGATGGATGGATGGATGGAGGGATGAAGGAGAAATGGAAGAAGAATGAGGTGGATGGCTGGATGATGGATGAATGGATGGATGCATGAAAGCATGCATGAGTAGATGGGTGAGTGAATGAATGGATGGAGTGGGTGGGTGAATGAATGAAGTGGATGGATGGAGGGATGAAGGAAGAAGTGGATGGGTAGATGAATGGATGGATGGATGGATCAGTAAATGGATAGATAGATGAATGACAGTAGATGGATGGAGGGGTGGGTGGTTGAAGGAAGGAGTGGATGGATGGATGAAAGATGGATAGGTCAATAAATGGAAGGATGGGTGGATGAATGGACGGGTGGATGAATGGACAGGTGAATAGATGGAGTAGCTGGATGGATAGATGAGGGGTTGGCAGATGGAGGGGAAGTTCATGGATGGATGCTCTGGTGAGGAACCATCCTGAACTCTGCTCTTGTCACTTTTGTTTTCCAGGGCGTCCCCAACTGCTCCTGCCCCTGTGTGCCTCTGTGTCTTTGCTGGGTGGCCTGACCTTCGGTTATGAACTGGCAGTTGTATCAGGTGCCCTGCTGCCCCTGCAGCTTGACTTCGGGCTTTCCTGCTTGGAGCAGGAGCTCCTGGTGGGCAGCCTGCTCCTGGGGGCTCTCCTTGCCTCCCTGGTGGGGGGCGTCCTCATCGACCAGTATGGCAGGAAACAAGCCATCCTCGGCAGCAATGTGGTGCTTCTGGCAGGCAGCCTGAGCCTCGGCCTGGCTGGCTCCCTGGCCTGGCTTGTCCTGGGCCGCTTGATGGCTGGCTTTGCCATCTCCCTCTCCTCCATGGCCTGCTGTATTTATGTGTCAGAGCTGGTGGGGCCCCGGCAGCGGGGAGTGCTGGTGTCCCTCTATGAGGCTGGCATCACCCTGGGCATCCTGCTCTCCTATGCACTCAACTACGCATTGGCTGGTTCCCCGGGGGGGTGGCGGCATATGTTCGGCTGGGCCGCAGCACCTGCTCTTCTGCAGTCCCTCAGCCTCTTCTGTCTCCCTGCTGGGACCACTGAGGCTGCAGCCCACAAGGACCTCATTCCTCTCCAGGGAGGTGAGGCCACCAAGCTGGGGAGGCCAAGATACTCCCTTCTGGACCTCTTCAGGGCCCGGGATAACATGCGAGGCCGGACCATGGTGGGGCTGGGGCTGGTGATTTTCCAGCAACTAACGGGGCAGCCCAACGTGCTGTGCTATGCTTCTACCATATTCCACTCAGTCGGTTTCCGTGGGGGCTCCTCAGCTGTGCTGGCCTCTGTGGGACTCGGCGCCGTGAAGGTGGTGTCCACCCTGACGGCCCTGGGGCTGGTGGACCGAGCGGGCCGCAGGGCCCTGTTACTGGCTGGCTGTGCCCTCATGGCCCTGTCGGTCAGCGGCATCGGGCTCGTCAGCTTCGCCGCACCCATGGACTCCAGCCCAAGTTGCCTGGCCCTACCCAACGCCAGCAGGCCGGTAGGCCTCTCTGGAGACTCGAGCCTGCCAGGGGCCGTCATAAGTCCACTTCCACTGCCAGCGACCAGTGAGAACCAAGGGAAGCCAGTCCCCCCAACCTCTACGAAAATCAAGCCTCATCCCAGAGCTGGGAACCGCACAGCCCCTCCCCTGCCGGCCTTAGGCACTGCCGCCCCTGCGCCCCGTTCTGCCCCCGAGCTCGCCCTGCTGCACTGGACCGCGCTGGTCTGCATGATGGTCTTTGTGAGCGCCTTCTCCTTTGGGTTTGGACCAGGTAGGTGGGGGTTCTCTGGCAGGAAACTCAGCAGCCTCTACCCCACCCAGCGGAAAGGGTGGGGACCCTGTCAGTCAGAGTCTCGGAAGGACACTAGAGGGGGCCTGACCGCAAAGCCAATGAAGCTTACGCTTTATGGCTCCTTGCCCACTTGCGGGCACTCCTTCCCAGGGCCTAATTTTCTGTTTGTAGTTTTTTTTCTTATAAAGGGCCCCAAATTATTTAAGCTTCTGGCCTCTTAAACTTGAATTTGCCCCTGGATAGATCACTCAAAGGGTTTACTTGAGGGCGCCTGGGTGGCTCAGTCGTTAAGCGTCTGCCTTCAGCTCAGATCATGATCCCAGGATCCTGGGATCGAGTCCCACATCGGGCTCCCTGCTCAGCGGGAAGCCTGCTTCTCCCTCTCCCACTCCCCCTGCTTGTGTTCCTGCTCTCGCTCTCGCTCTCTCTGTCAAATAAATAAATAAAAATCTTTAAAAAAAAAAAAAAGGGTTTACTCGAAAGGGGTTCTTGGGGCACCTGGGTGGCTCAGTCGGTTAGGTGCCTGCCTTCGGCTCAGGTCATGATCCCAGGGTACTGGGATCGAGCCCCACATCGGGCTCCCTGCTCAGCGGCGAGTCTGCTTCTCCCTCTCCCTCGGCCTGCCACTCCCCCTGCTTGTGCTCTCTCTCTCTGTCAAATAAATAAATAAAACCTTAAAGAGAAAAAGAGAAAGAAAGGAAGAAAAGGGTTCTTGCAGCAGTGTGGGGGAGGCAGTGGGAGAACTGGGTGTCAGGGGCCTGAAATTCTGCTTGAGTCACATTGTTGGGGGGCTGTCCGCTGGACCATGGGTGCCAGGCCCCAGTTCCCACCCCAGCCCGTGAGTTCTCCCCGCTTTCCTGTCCTAGTGACCTGGCTTGTCCTCAGCGAGATCTATCCCGTGGAGATCCGAGGCAGAGCCTTCGCCTTCTGCAACAGCTTCAACTGGGCCAGCAACCTCCTTGTCAGCCTCTCCTTCCTCCACCTCATCGGTGAGTTCTCTGACCTAATTCCATGGTCTAGTTCCTTCTAGATCCAGGAACAGTTGCCTGGGGTGGGCTCTTGTTGGCTCAGCAAAATTGCCTGCCCATCCCCGGCTGGAAGGCTGCAAGATTCTGATGCCCAGGCCTGGGGCATATACCAGCCCCTGAAGTCAGGGTGGGTGGGTGGGGGACAGCTTCACCCAACCATGTGTACAGAGGTGGGGGGGATGGTTCCTTAAAGGAAAAGTGGGGTGCTAGTATCAGCAAAGGGGGGAGGAGAGGCCAGCAGACAAAGACAAGAGAAGACGTGACCTTCGAGGCTTCTACCCCTGATAATTCCAGGCTCCATCAATGAGTGGGCCTGGGAGGTGAGGCTGAAGGAGGGGAAGAGCCTCCATCTGGAAGCTGGCTCTGATTGGTGTGGTAGGGGAGGGGACAAACTACTGGTGGGGGGATGGGGGAGTCTGGAGGCCTGAGTGTGAGGCCATTTTCTTCATTGCAGCCCAAAGGCCCTCACATTAAAGCAGGGGAGTTTTTGAAAATTTCGTCTTGTAGCCGAAGAACTATTCTGTAAATAAAACTCTGTGCAGAATGTTAAATTCTCCAGGCCCGATAGCAGGTCTACACCCCCACCTCTGAGACCAGCAGGTACCCGAGTGTCCACCTTTTTTATTCTAAACCGGCTCCAACAGGCTCATGCCCACCTGCTGGCAGGAAGGTTTTCTCATATCTAGTTTGGGTGACACTCTCTCTTCCTACCTGGCATTCGAACCCCATTTGAGCCATGGTGGGGTGTGGTGGGAATTATCTGGGCCCAGAACACCGGAAAGGGTCTCTGAGTTGCTGAGATGCTCCTGGCCCAAGGAGCCAAGGTGGGAGGGGCTCCCTCCCTGTGAGCCCCAAGGCACAGTTCTTAAGGCTCAGTTATTTTCCTATTTTCTGCAGCCAAGCGTTTCCTCCTCAAAGGCACAGCCCCTGGGAAAGGCTGGTAGAAGAGCGTGTCCACTGTGCCTGTCTCCAGCCTCCCCCACCCACCCCACCCCTCCCACCCCCCCTTGTGTGAGGATTAAGTGGAGGCCCAGCTGGTCAGGGGAGGATGCTCAGAGGTCATGACCTCTAGAGGTGAGAATGGCCATGGCTCTGGAAGGTTATCTGGGCTTCTGCCTCCACAAAGCCCTTCCCTCACTGTCTCCTTTCTCTGTCCTGGGCTGACGGACTTCAAAGGAGCCAGGGTCATCCCGGGGTCCTGGTTGCTGGCCCTGAGACCCTGGCCCTCATCCAAGGCTCCGGGAAGAGGCGAGGGCTGGGGAGTGGTCTGGGAGTCAGCCACAGGCTGCATGGGCTGAAACTCCATTCCCTGGATGCTCAATTCATTCACCCAATAACCAGTTTGTAGAATTTCGGAGGATGTTTTTTGTTTTGGGGCTGGGCTTGGCCAAAGCTGTGTCCTGCAACTACTTTGCTGCGGAAGTGAATGCCATTTCCTCTCCATTCATGTTTTCAGATTATGACCTCACTCCTCTGGTGAGTGTTTTAGATGTGGGTGAGTGGGCTTTCCCATACCGACCTGATGCCTGAGTCTGTGTTTGCGGGTCTGGGCCCCGGCCCTTTGCCTGCCTCTGGGATAACCAGTCCGGCTCCTGCTTTAAGGCACTTACCTGACAGCTTGTTGTTTTAATTCTGCACATCAAACATTTGGAGAATGTGCTTCTGAGTGAACTGATTTGCAGTGCCCCTGCCCACGCTCCCACCTTCCTGTTCCCAGGCACCATCGGCTTGTCCTGGACCTTCCTGCTCTACGGGCTGACGGCTGTCCTCGGCCTGGGCTTCATCTATGCATTTGTCCCTGAAACAAAAGGCCAGTCCTTGGCAGAGATAGACCAGCAGTTCCAGAAGAGACGGTAAGTGGACACAGGGCTAAGCTGGGCCTCAGGAAGGACTCACATCAAATCCTGAGCAAATCAGTTCAGGATTTACTCTGCGTACTTTCCCTTTGCAAGAGAGTGTTTTCCTCCTCCTCCTGATTCCCTTAGTGCCTGGACACCGTCGGTTTTGTCTTGTCTTCCTACAGGAGCTGTTTTCCTGGAGTTGTTTGTGTCTTCCGACAGCAGAGTTTCATTTGACTTTAAGGCCCAGCTCATGGGAATTTTAAAACCATGCAGTTATGGAATCACATGAGGTCAGAGCAGCAGAATCTTAGAGTCATGGAAGCTTAGAGAAAATAGTATAACTGTGGCCTTTTAAAGTCACACACACAGAACTATGGGCTTAATCTACTCATTCAGCAGGTGTTTATTAAGTCCCTACTATGTGCCAGGCCATGTCTGGGCCTTAGGAAACGTGGCCGAGTAAGATGGGCAAGGTCCTTGTCCTCACGGAGCTTCCATTCTAGTGGAGAAGGGGGACAGAAAATAAACAAGCCAACAAATGCAGCAACAAGAGCATTTTGGCTAGTTATATGTATCTGAAGAAAATGAAACAGAGTGAAGTATGTTGAGAAGGCCTGACTGGCAGAGCGGGGGACAGAGGGACAGGGGTTGTGGCTAAATTAGAGTGGGTGGTTAGAGAGAGGAGGCCTCTCTAAGGAGGTGCAATTTAAGTTCGTGAGAAGGAGACAGCCATGTAAAGATGAGGGAGAGGAGCATTCCAGGTAAAGGGAACAACAGGTGCAAAGGCCTTGAGGTTGGGAGTGTATCCGGCATATGCAAGGAACCACAAGGAAGCCAGTGTGGCTGGAATAGAGGGAAGGGAGGGTGGCAGGAGGGGTAGAAGATCAGATCAGCCAAGTTGGTAGGAGCTCAATCATGTAAGGTCTTCAGATCATAGAGAGGAGTGGAGAATCTTAGTATCGTGGGGCCTTGTGCCATTCAAATAAGAGAAGAGAGGAATAGGAGCAGCAGAAAGGACCTAAAAACACTACCATCCTACATATCCTTGGCAAATGCCCCTGGTTACTTCTTGTAGTAAAGGGGATCATCAGCACCTGACTGCCCGTTCTATTCCTGGGAGGCCCTAAAGGACTAAAAAAATAAATCATTCTAAGAGGGAGTCGGAACTCACCTCCTGCAGCTGCCTGCCAAGTCCCAGCCCAACACAGCCCCGGAAGGGACGCAGAACTGGTCCAGTGTAAAAGCCTTCAACCTGCTCCACTCAACCCCAGAGGGTGCTCTGCCAGCGGAGCTCCCCCAGTGTGTTGACTGACCCCTCTGCAGGCCCCTTTGGCCCAACCCTGTTGGTTAGGAAATAGATCTGGCTGCTCAGAATAGTCCGGATGTAGGGGGACCAGGGCTGGGGTGGCAGCCGTGCTTCGAGAGGTCATCCAGGGTCCCACGCTCCTTCTCTCCAGTTGCTCTGCCATCTCTTCGATAATTACTTTACCAGGGGCCTGCGGGAGGGGAGGAGGGGAGGGGAGACACAGCCTGAAAGATGCACGGGTCATTCCCACCCGCATCCTTCAGACAGAACCTGGGTATACCTACATGCGGGGGAGGCTGAGAAACGGGCTTTCTCCTGGGAAGCCATGTGCCCAGCTAAGAATTAAAAGGGCACTGTTACTAGGCTTAGGGGGGATACAGATACTAGGAGCCACCTGGAATCTCTGCCATCCTGGCTTTCTTGGGAGAATATTCCAGAAACCCTCCTCTGGGATGAGGCACTAAGGAGGCAGAAAGGCAGGTAGAAGCCAGCTTTGGGGTAAAGCAGGATGTAATTGCAGCCAAGGGGAGTGTCAAGCTGGACCTGGGGACTCGGGGTCGCATGGTGGGGCCTGGGCCAGCCTGTAGGGCAAGGAAGCTGAGTCTGCCATGACTTTAGGAGGAGACAGAAAGTTAGGGGGCTTTGCCAGGGTCTGGCAGTCATCACTTCAGTGCCTATAGTCATATAGACTCTGACATCAGAGGCCACAGAGACAGAGAGCCACAGAGACCCCTCTCCCCCACTCACTCTCTGCTTGACAGGTTCACCCTGAGCTTTGGCCACAGGCAGAGCTCCACCAGCATCCCGTACACCCGCATCGAGGTCTCTGCCACCTCTTGAGGAGTCCATCTGCCTGGAAGATGCTGGAACCATGGCTTTAGCCGACAGTCTCCAGCTTCCTGCTTGCCTGGCTCCTACAGCACAAGGTCTCGGAGGTCCTGTAAGTCATCCCTGCTCCAGGAGAGGTCTTTCGGGCCCAGGTGAAAGAGGAGAAAGTTTGAGAACCCAAAAGTCTTCATTTTGAATCTCAGGCTCTGAGGTGCCCTGAGGATCTGCCTTCTTGCCTCAGTTTCCCCATTGTCTCTGCACGTCCCTGCAGTACTTACAATGACAACATCTCATGGAGTCTGTTGCTTTCTCAAAGAACATCTAGGGTACCAGCCCTGGAAGGAAGTCTTCTCTGGCATCACTCCCAAACCTAGATGAGGATACTATATTCTCTGCTCTCTTTTCTCATCTGGCTGGGACTTTCTGGTGAGGGGAAGCCTGCTTTTGTCATTCACCAGCAACTTAGACTGGTGGAGAAGATGCTTGAGTTCCAGCCCTGCTTCTCTGGTGTCATGGCTGTATGGCCATAGGCCTCAGTTTTCCCCATATGTACAATGGGCAACCTGGACCAGGGAGTTCTTAAGATCACTTCCAATGTCAATGAGCTGGAATTCTAAGTGCTGCTAATACAGCGCATATTCAGCACGGGCCCTGCTCTCAAGTAGCTGGCCATCTCTGTAGGGGATGCCAGTTTTAATTAGGGGAACAGTAAATAGAATTCCAGAATCGCGGGCACTAAAATCCAAGAGCAGCCACGGTTCATGAAGCCAGCTCCAGGCACTGTTTCCAGGTGGTGCAGGAGAGCTTTGCAGAACGGAGGTGGGTTTGGAGGCCGACAAGCCCGACTGCTGGTGTTGCCTGTCTCCTGGCCGCTGTTGACCTTGTCAACAACCTTGTGACTAACAGCTTTCGCTAGCCTCAGTTCCCACATCTGCAGAATGGGGATGATTAGGCGCCTGGGGATGTACTTAACCCCTGTCTTCCTGCAGGAGGATCTTCAGCTGGTCCCATTCAGCTAGTCAGGGCCTGAGGGGGAGGTTTCTGCTCACCCTCAGTTACCCAGGTCCCCATCTTTGGGACATTGTTAAGGGTCAGCCCCCGACGGGTGAGTCAGATGGAGACTGAGCAAGGAGCTCAAGCCAGAAGTCACCAGAGGAAGGGCCTGGCAAGAGTGAGTTGCTGGATGCTGAGGAAAATGAAGAGCTAAAGCAGACCCAGGGAGCTGGTGTGGGACAACACTTCGTCATCTGTGCCTGCTGCAAGCCCCCAGGACTCTGGCCTCTCATCTTCTCTCCTCCTGTTCTAGATGCTTCCCTCGTACCCAGTGGTGTGCGGGAGGCTCCTCCTACTACCTTGTGAGAGCCCATTGTTAAGTTTTTGGGACTTTTGCCAACTGGTTGTTAAACACAGCCTTTTAAAGATATTAAATTATTGAATATTTCAATAAATTATATTAAAAGCAAAAGTAATAAATACTAAAACCTCCTCACTTCCTTGTTTTGCTACATTTCACTATCATCTGTGCTCTTGAGGTTACTTGCATATAATGTGTCTTATGAGAGACACGGGAGATCCTGATTCTGCGTACAAGGCGTCATGCCCATGGGAGGTGACTTGGCAGCACAGGGATGGGGAAACACTGCAAGGCAGGGCTTGACTTACTGTTTCCTTGATGCTCCAGCCTTAAGAATGTGATGGATAAAATGTTAACAATGCAAATTAACCTTGCGAGTGTGTCTGTCATGTCTGTAGCTGAGACACGGTGAGTGGCACTAAAAATTGAGGGAATATTCTTTCACTCTGAACGCTATTACCCAATGCAACAAACAAGTTGCCCACATCATCGATGAAGGTGTTCTGACCTACATCTTCCTTGTTTTACTTTGTCTGACTCATTAACGTCAACAAAAATTTCAACCCACGTTCATGTTGAAACTTCCCTCGCTCTGCAGAGACAGGATGGGATCTTTTGCTGAGTCGGATTGTTGTCCAGCATTTATTCCTAGTCTGATTTTGTCAAGTCGTGGCGAAATTGCAGTGATAGTTGGTTTTGGATACAAGAATTTGGCAAAAAAAAAAAAAAAATCAACAAAATCCATCTGCGAGAATGAATTGGCTTATATAGAATTTATAAAGAATATTTACAACAGTGTGTTATTATTTATAAATTTGTAAATTTATAAATTATAAATTTTTAAATTTTGTGTAATAAACACATAAAATCTATACACACACACACACACTTGTTCTCCTGGAGAACAGTGGTTCAACACTGCCCAGCACGCCACTCCTTTTATCTGTCCTTATGGTGCCTTCAGATCCAAATCTGTCTACAGAGACCCCCAGGCCTCTCTCAATTCCCCTTTCCTATCAGCCTAGAGAATGCTTAGACTAGTCTTAGATTGGTCAGGATCATAAACTCAGCGGTCAGGCCGGGAATGTAAATGATGGGAGCCCTGTGGTAAGACAGCAGGGAGGAGTGAGGTCTGTGGACACGGGCAAACACAGGCCCTCTCTAAAAGGGGAAGCTGCCCAATTCCAGCTGGTGCCTGCCATGTAGGAACATGGGCCTATCCGTGGCCTGACCATCTGTATTTTCAAGAAAATCCAGAAATTCAGACCTTGGTGCAAAATTTCCTGATTTATTAATAGTGGCAATTGGTTCTTAAGTGAAAAATAGCTTTTAAGCTCAACAGAACACGCCTGTGGCTAAATCATGACCTTCCGTTTGTGCCTCAGCTCTTGAAAGCTTTCCCTCTGAGATACTCCTCTTCTCTGGATTCTTGAGGCTCTCAGCTTAATCTCTGTAAAGAGTCATGGCTTTGGAAATCAATGCCAAGAATATTGAGTAGCCAAGCATCATGAATTGAGTAAGTTGGAGGGGGTGTTATTGAACACGGAGGAAGGCATCATGGAGGGAAGAAATGGTTCATATGGCAAACACAGAACTGGCACAGTTAGGTGTGGGACTTGGTAATGGCTCATCTGTGTATCAGGGATGATGCCATTAACTATTTAGAGATGACATATATCAATCACTAGTTCCAAGCTGGGCCCATTGGTGCTCACCAATGGTTCAGTCCCAGCAGCCTTCAGGAGCATCTGGCTCTGGGTGAGGAGGATGGAGAGGGCAAGAACCAGGTGGCCATTCATAATGGGGGGGGGGGGCGGCATGAAAGAAATCTAAAAACGTGCAGTACCTACTAGGTGCTCAGCAGTCTTTAGCACTAGCCAGAAAAGACACAGGGTCTGTTCCATGATCTGCAGCGCGGGTGGTGGGAAGCTCTTCTCTTTCTCCCAGATAATCTCAGAATCACTTCAGGAAAGCATTTCCGAAACCCCAGCATCTTGTGTAGCCTTTTCATATGTGTGCCAATCATGGAGTACCTTCCTGTCATCTGCCAAACGGCATTACCCAGACTACTTACTGAATGCTTTTCTTTAAAGTGATTTGCTTTTCAGGACATCTGGGTGGCTCAGTCAGTTAAGCGTATGCCTTCGGCTTGGGTCATAATCCCAGCGTCCTGGGATCGAGTCCTGTGTTAGGCTCCTTGCTCAGCGGGAGCCTGCTTCTCTCTCAGCCTGCTATTCCCCCTGCTTGTGCGCGTGCTCGCTCTCTCTGACAAATAAATACATAAAATCTTTAAAAACAATAAAGTGATTTGCTTTTCAACTTAAATGTATTTTAAGAGGAAATTTTATTAATTTATTTTTCCAATCATATGTAAACTTACTGAATTCTACTGTGTGCGAGGCACTGTTCTAGACCCTGGGGGCACAGCAGTGAACAAGAGAAGGACCTATCCTCACAGAGCCCACATTCCGGTGGGGGGAGTTACATGAGAAATAAGAAATGAGAGCAAGAGAGAAGGAAGAAGGAAGGGAGGAGGGAGGAAGGAAAAGTAGATGGATGGATGGATGCATGTCAGGTAGCAAGGAGCACTAAGAAGAGGTAAAGGGTGGACGGGGATGCTTGCATACTGTTTTAGCTAGGAGAGTCAGAGACAGCCTCTTTGAGGTGGTGGCATCTGAATAGAGACCTGCACGAAGGACTAGAGTGAGCCATGGAAAGATCCAGGGGGGTGGGGATTGGATGGCTCAGTCGGTTAAGCAACTGACTCTTGGTTTCGGCTCAGGTCATGATCTCTCTAAAATAAATAAATCTTTAAAAAGAAAGAAAGAAAGATCTGGGGGACGAGCATCCCAGGCAGATGGCCCAGCATGTACAAAGGCCCTGAGGCAAGACTAAGCTTCTCATATTGGAGGGACCTCAAGGAGTGAGCGAAGGTAGAGCGACGGTAGAGGAAGAGGAAGAGGTCAGCAGGGGTTGGATCACGAAGACCTTCCCGACCATAGAAAGCATTTCAGACCCTTTCTTTCTTTCTTTCTTTCCTCCATTCTTTTTCTTTCTTTCTTTCTTTCTTTCTTTCTTCTTTCATTTTATTTTTAAATAATCTCTCCACCTAATGTGGGGCTCAAATTCACAACCCCAAGATCAAGAGTCTCATGCTCTGCTGACTGAGCCAGCCAGATGCCCCCAATTTTTCTAAATGCACTGGGAAGCCACTGGAGGATTTTGAACAGTGGATTGACATGATCTGACTTAATGCTATAAAATACTTCTTGTTGGTGAAGTTGGTGACTATAGAAAATGAGTATCAATTACAGAAATAAGAAATCATAAAAATACTATGAAAGCAACAAGATTTCATTCAACTCTGACTAAATACTCTTATCTACTGAGGGCACTGATCTTAAGGCCTCCTCTGTGATGTAAAAGGGAGCTTAGCAAGTGTGAGAGAGGCATTCACGACACAATAGCACCAACCTAAGACCTTTTCTTTGCCTGGCTTGGAAGAAAAATGATGTGATGCAACATATTTGATGTGGGAAACAAAGGTAAAAGAAAAATTATTAAATTTCCTTACTACTTACAGCTCACTGATAAGTCCTTGAAACAGACAGAGTGATATTCCTCTAGAAACTCAGCTGCCTCAGTGTTAATACTTTGCAAAGGGCAAGAGGCAATCTTAGCCCAACCCCCCCAGGATCCTGTAAATCTACTTTAACATATAAAAATTCCTTTGGAAACTTCCTTTATCTCTACCCACCAAGATGCATGTTGGCAATCATCCCCCAAGCACGTGACCCGCCGATATACATCTGAAGGGTCTCATGACTCAGGTTTTATTAGACGGTAATAAATGACCTTTTCCCAACAATAGCTAGCCCCCTCAAGGTCCTGGAAACCTTGCTTCCAAAATACCTCAGAGACTTACACTATCCCTAACCCCCTCCCAACTTGAAAGTATATAATGGGCCCCTCCTCATGACCCCAGTGCAGCTCCTTCTGCCCACAGGTCCTGTCCCTGTACTTTAATAAAACCACCTTTTTGCACCAAAGACGTCTCAAAAATTCTTTCTTGGCCATCGGCTTCAAACCCTAATAACGTCTTTCCTACATCATATTTATATGATGTTTGTGAACCTGAAATCATTACAAATGCCATGGGTCATAAGCTTCCCATTCTTTGGTAGATACCAAAGGTTAGGAAGCCAGAAGCACCAAGAGACAGGTGGTTTTTGTTGCTCCCATATCAGCCCCTCCTGGAGAGCCACGTTCACCGTGTCACCGTGGACCCAGTTTAGAGCGAGGCCCCTGCAGCAGGTGTCCTCCGACGGAGCTGTGCCTCCCCGAGGGAGAAGGCTGTGTAGGTGCTGTCATTATTGGCCTGCAGCTTTGGAAGGGCTGGCCATCCAGAGGGAGAGGCGGAAGGGGACGAGTAGAGACAAGATGGGAAACCAAACCCTTCCCACACCCGAGATCATCACACCGGGGAGGGCAGTTTCCATGTCTGTCTTGTAGATCAGGGAACGGAGGCTTATGAGGCAGACGGCTGACCCTCTCCAGGCTCCTGCCAGCCTCCTCCGTGACCCAACATCTGTGTGGATGAGCCTTCACCAGCCTGGCCTCTCTTGGTAAGCAATCTCTGTGGCCCCATGTTCCACTTGACCTCTTCCACCTTAAACACATGAAACAGGCAACATACTTTAAATGTTTCATTTCAAATATCCCACTTCCTGATCACCATATCCTAACATTTCTGCTAATATTCTAATGCCCCCCCAAGGTAACCGTTTCTCTGACCTCACTGAGACCTTTGACCTTGACCGGCCAGTGCCCGACCCTACTGCTTTTCCAGCATCCTGGGAGAGATTCACGGGCTTCACTCTCCGGCTTGTCCAACCTAAGATCCCAAATCCCAACCTTATAATCATCCCTGCATACGCCCTTCTGCAGACTTAAGTCATGCTAATCCTATCTTCCCTCCGTGGGCAGAGAAAGCTGTAGGAAAAAAGTCATATAACCTGACAAACAGGTTTCACTTGAAACCTGCGAACTCAAACAGACTCACCCTGCAGATGCTCCCTCTGCACAGCAGTCAATACATCTAAAAGGCAATTTACAGAATGGGAGGAAATATTTACAAACCATAAATCTGAAAAAGGGTTAATCTCCAACATACATAAAGAACTCATATGAAATCAATAAGCAAATAATCCAATTTAAAAATAGGCAAAGGACTTGAACACGCATTTTTCCAAAGACATACGAATACCAACAAGTGTATGAAAAGGTGCACAGCATCATCAGGGAAATGCTAATCAAAACCACAATGAGGTAACACCTCACACCTGTTAGGATGGCTATAATAAAAGACATAACAAGTGTGGGTGAGGATATAGAGAAAGGGGGACCTTTGTGCACTGCTGGTGGGAAGGTAAATTGGTGCAGCCACTGTGGAAAACAATTTGGCAGTTCCTCCAGATATTAAAAATAGGACTACCATGGGATCCCACAATCCTACTCTAGGGTACATAGACAAAGGAAATGAAATCACTGCCTTAAAGAGACAAGGTAGTATTATTCACAATAGCTGAGATATGGAAGCAACCTAAACATCCTTCAGTGGCTGAGTGGATAAAGAAAATGCGGTATATGTATATATACATAATGGAATAGTATTCAGCCATGAAAAATAAGGAAATCCTGCCATTTGCTCCAACGTGGATGAAACTGAAGGGCGTTATGCTAAGTGAAATAAGCCAAAGAATGACAAATACTGTATGGTTTCACTTATATGTGGAATCTTAAAAAAAAAAAAAAAAGCTTATTGCATGGAAACAGAAAGCAGGGGCTGGAGGTCAAAGGTTACAAACTTGCAGGTATAAGAAGAGTAAGTTCTGAGGCTTTATTTACATCCTGGTGACTAGAACTAATAATGCGGTGTCGTGCACTTGAAAGTTGCTAAGAGCAGATCTTAAGCATTCTTGCCACACACACACAAAAGAGTTAACTCTGAGCGATCACCTTGATCCTAGCAATCATTCCACAATGTGTATGTATATCAAGCTATCACGCTGTACGCTTCAAATATATACAATGATTGGTCAGTTATTCCTCAGCAAAGTAAAAAAAAAAAAAGGCCGCTCAAAACCAAAAACACAACACAAAACACAAAAAACTCAAATGCTCTCAGGCACACTCCCCTGCTCCCTGACTCAACAGCTTCTTACTGTCCCCCTGGTGGAAACCTCTCCTATCCCTTCCATCTCCTCCACTCTCAGCTGCTGACTTGGCCTCATACTTCACTGGATGAGCAGAAGTTCTCAGAAGTGGGACAGGTGCTGCCCCCCAATATCTGTTATCTCTTTTATGCATTGCACTAGAGTCCCAACGTTTAGCTGGAAACACGGCTGCCTGGGCCCAACACTGCAGCCCTCAGATCCCTTGGCAGGTGGATATGGCCAAGTGACCAAGTGCAGGTCGATGTGAGTGAGCAGAAAGGGTGAGTACAATATCCAGGCAAGCCCTGTGGCAGAAAGGACTAATTATCTCCCCAAATCCACCCTCTCCTTTTTCCTTTTAGCAACAGAAATCCCTTTGTTGTAGCTGGATGCATGGCCATTTAGCTAATGATGCCATTTCCTAGCTTCCCTTACAAGAGAAGGGGTCATGTGACTAGGCTCTGGCCAATGGGCCTCTCCGTCAAGGTC